TTAAAACAATTCATAAAAATACATTACAAATAACACTAATCCGGTTTCAAGTATTACAGATATACTTTACTTTTATACCATAACAAAACACATAAAATAGTTTCATATAAAAGGAAAAAATATAATGAAAGAAAAATAAAAGCAAGATATAATGTTATAATTATATATATAATATTGATGTCATTCGGTAGATCTTGTGAAAATATTTTCAACAGTATATTACTTAACAAGTATTGATTTACGTACAAAAAATTTTGAATAAAATAAGGATGCTAGTTCAAAAATTAATATAAATGAAAAAAATGTAAATAAATAATAGAACGTGGGTCACGCTTTGCTTGGTGCTAGAATTCATCAATGGCCATAGACTTTATTTTTATTACGAAATTGCTAATCTATCTAATGAATGTTCTAGATTTGTGCGGAGTATTTAAATAAAAATTTGGCCCTTAGATCTAAGTTTTTGGCGGCAACATTGGAAACTCATTTAAGCAGATCATTCTTTTTTATATATAGTAGATTCATCTATTTTTTTTGCACCACGAATATGGTCACACTTCCCCATCATAATTGGGAGTTTAAGTTAAAAGTTTTTATTGAGACAAAATTATATCAAAATAAATACTTGGAATAAGAGTAATACAATGTAGTTTAAACCTCCATACTTAGAAATATTTTGTGCCTAATTAATTACTCCTTAGAAATTATTCATCTATTTGTCCTCTTTTTTTGTTGGAAATTGTGTACCATCTAGGAGTGTGGGTGAATTATGTGTGTAGAAATGTGTAAAAATTTAAAAAATGTGTGTATAAATAAAAATAAAAGGATACAATGTTACTTGAATTATGATTGTCTAGTACAATGAAAAAGAGTCGTGTTAGAAATATATTTTCTTTAAACTAGAAATATTACATTGAAAAACATGTCTTGAATGTACAAAAATTTTGTTCTAATTCATTTGTCAAAATGCTAGTAAAATAAAAGATGTAGTAGTAAAGAGATTAAAAAAATTGAGAGAAATCAAAAACAAAATTAGAGAATTTTACTTTTCCAAATAAATACACAAGGCTTAGGCAAGAGTTGTTTTGGAAATTTATTTCTTCTGCTGCTCAGACATATCTTCCATCTTCATTCAGCTCACTTGAAATCTCCACCAAATTCTTGATTTTTAAATTTTAACTCAAACTTGTTGCTCAAGAGTATGGTAGGGTAGGACAACATATGAAAAGCTATAATTTCTTTGAGGATAAAGTTCTTAAAATGGTAAATGAAATTGTACCTCCTAAAAAAAATTATTGATATGTCACAAATTTAGTACATAGTGCGTAGAGTGGTTGAATGTAACTAAAGGAGCAGAACCATCCCGCTTAAGAAAGGAACACTTACGAGTTTATTTCCTCGAATTAAAGGACAAGCCGATTCACATCCTGGTTTCAGTGCGTTTACTACAGTTTCACACTCTTCTTCATTCACTTGATAATCTACACACTTTGCTCGACAATGTTGTTATATTAATTGCTTCGTGTGAGGGGCAAGTTTTAGTATAAACTTGCAAAGCTCGATCTGATTTTTGGTGCGTACAAATCAATAGATTTTAATCCACTTTAGATGTTCTTGATGGTAATCAGCATCAATGCACTCTAGCTTCTCATGTTCCTTATGATGGTGATCATCATCAATGAACTTAACTTCTTATGTTCTTTGTCCTCTCGTGGGCTCAGGTTCATCTGCATGCAGATCAAAATATATAACTTAAGTGGATGATGTTATTGTATAATCATTCCACAAGTGAATAATTTATTTAACTTTAGTTGAAGAGAAGCTTAAAACGATGTCATGACTCACTCACCACATTGGTAGGATTAAAGAGTACAAGGCAGGATTTTAGAAACTGGACAATCTTAAACATGTTATCTTCCACTTTGGAGGCTAATGACAGATTTAGACTTCTAAGGTCTGAGAATGTCGCTATGCTTTCTGGCATGAACATATACATATGGTAGTGATAGTAGTAGTATATAACAAAAAACAAACAAAAACAAAAAAGGCATTTGATCCTACCCAATTGAAACTAGAGTACAACTGGGTACGATCAAATGCCTTTTTGTGTTTTTATTTGTTTTTTGTTATATACTACTACTATCAATACCATATGTATATGTTTTCCTTTTGCAGGTTGAGTACATGCTAGAAAGAATTGCTACATTTTGAAACTTTGGAAATCTAAAACTGCCATTGGCCTTCAAAGTAGAAGATATTATGTTTAAGATTGTCCAGTTTCTGAAATCCTGCCCTGTAATCTCTAATCTCACCATTGGGATGAGTGAATCATGCCATTTTTTTAATCTTCTCTTCCACTAAAGTTAAATAAATTATTCACACCATGGAATGATTATATAAAAACACCATTCGCTTAAATTATATATTGTGGGGATGATTGTGATTTGCTGCAATTGAGGCCGAGCCCACGAGAGTACAAGGAAGATGAGAAGCTAGAGTGCATTGATGATGATTACCATCACAAAGAACATGAGAAGCTGGAGTGCATTGATAATGATTATTATCATGAACATTTGAAGTGGATTAAAATTTGTGGATTTGTACGCACTAAAAATCAGATCGAGTTTTGTAAGTATTTACTGAAACTTGCCCCCCCACATCAAGCAATTAATATTGTGGAGATCATCAAGTGAATGAAGAAGAGTGTAAAATTGTAGTAAATGAATTGAAACCAGGATGTGAAGCTGCTTGTCCTTTAATTTGAAGAAATAAACTCGTAGGTGTTCCTTTCATAAGCGGGATGGTTCTGCACCAGGATGGAATTATTTCGTATAGAAACAGAACACACGTCCATATTAATTACATTTAACCATGTTCTCTACTCACTATATACTAAATTTATGACAATTCTATAAAAAAATTTTGGGGGGACAATTTCATTTACCATTTGAAGAACTCGATCCTCCAAGAAATTATAACTTGAAATGTTGTCCTAAATTATAACAATTTCGTTTATGTTGTCCTACCCTACTATACTATTGAGCTGCAAATTTGAGTTAAAAAATCAAGAATTTGGTGGAGATTTCAACTTCATCATTAACCACATCTAAGATCACTCTCCATTTTTTTCTTTTAATTATTTCTTATGTATAGGTTTTCCATGAATGGAGATGGAAGATAGGTCTAAGCAGCAAGAGAAATAAATTCCCAAAAACAACTCTTGCCTAAGCCTTGTGTATTTGTTTTAGAAAAGTAAAATTCTCTTATTTTGTTTTTGATTTCTCTCAATTTTTTCACTCTTTGCTACCTCTTTTATTTTACTAGCATTTTGACAAATGAGTTTGAAATGTTTTTCAAGAAATGTTTTTTAATGTAATATTTCTAGTTTAAAATTAACAATAAATGTTTTTCAATGTAATATTTCTAGTTTAAAGAAAATATATTTCTAACTCGATTTTTTTTAATATTGTGGACATTGGCATCAAAGTAGAATAAGGGGCTGTTTGGCAACTTCTGAATATGTAAGTGCTAAGAGGTCTGAACCATTAAGTGATAAACCAGAAGTCTGAACCATTAAGAGCTAGTATATTGTTTAACTATTCAGGGATCAATTCAGATAAGAGGTCTTAACCATTCAGACTCTGTATAATACTTAACCATTCAGGGGCAAATGTCTGAACCATTCAGACATCTAATCACGAAACAAACAGTCTGAACCATTAAGTGCTGAACCATTCAGACAACTGAACCATTAAGAGGCTAAAACAAATAACCCCTAAATGATATACCAATTACTCCTTAACATTTTGTAATGACATTTTTTTATACTGTATATGATTGGAGTGATTCGTAAAAAAATGAATTTGTATAACATTATTCATTAAATAAAATACCATTTATCAATCGTAAATTTTCTTTTATTACTATTATGCACATTATGACAAAGTAAAAAATATTTACCAATCCTATTAAACAGATCATGCTCTTATAAAAAATTAATTAAGTCAAAAAAGACTTAATAAACATCCAAGACAAATTTTTTCAAATATAATTTTTTTACCCCCTTTTGTTTCATTTATTGCATACTTAGTTTTGTTATTTATATGTTTGTCTCCTATTTCATGGTGCTAGACAATCATAATTGAATTAACATTGTATACTTGATTAATTTTATTTGTACACACATTTTTTAACTTTTACACATATACACACAGAATTCACCCACACTTCTAGATTGTACACAATTTCAAACAAAAAAGAGGACCAATAGATGAATAATTTCTACGGAGTAATTAATTAGGCACCCATATTTCTATGTATAATAGATTAAACTACATTGTATTACTCTTATGCCAAGTATTTATTTTGATATAATGTTTACACTCGTTGTCACAATAAAAACATTTAACTTACACTCCCAATTATCATGGGGAAGTGTGACCATATTCGTAGTGCGAAGCAAAATAGATGAATTTACTATATATATAAACAGAATGAAGTGGTTCCAGTCACTCCCGAAGAAATAAAGAAATGTTTGTTTGATATACCTAACAACAAAAGTCCAGGCCCAGATGGCTATAACAGTGGTTTTTTCAAACACCAATGGAAGAAAACAGGGGTACTAATTATCAAAGCGATTCAAGACTTCTTCCACAAAAGAGAAACACTTAAACAAATAAACTCTACAAATATTGTGGTTATTCCTAAAACTGATGATCCAAAGAGTCCCACCGACCTGAGACCTATAGCCTGTTGTAATGTCCTTTATAAGGTAATCTCAAAAATCATATGTGGCAGATTGAAGGCTATATTACCAAAGATAATTATTCTGAACCAAGGAGCATTTTTAGCAGGAAGAGAATTAGTACACAATGTACTTTTATGCCAGGAGATTACAAAGGGTTATAAGAGGAAAGATATCTCTCCAAGATGCCTAATGAAGTTGGATCTCCAAAAAGCTTATGACAACGTTAGCTCGAAGGCTATTGACCAACTGTTGAAGCTTCTCAAGTTTTCCTCAATATTTACCAACAACAACAACAACCCAGTTGAATCCCACAACAGTAGGGTCTGGGGAGGGTGTGTGTACGCAGACCTTGCCCCTACTCGGAAGTAGGGAGGCTGTTTCCAAGAGACCCCCGGCTCCACCTGCACAAAAATATGGAAGAGAACACAATATAGCACAGATAAGGCACCAAGTACAAGCAACAACTACAAACAATAGCAAAAGATTCCCAACAAATACAACACACTACAAATCCCTCAATATTTACCAAATGGATTAATTTTTGTGTGACTACCCCCACATACTCCATACTACTGGATGGCGAGAGTTTTGGATATTTCAAAGGAGGAAAGGGGCTCAGGCACGGGGATCCTGTATCTCCTTTGCTATTTGTTATTATTATGGAATACCTCACCAGAGCATTTCAGTATTATGCCACCAAAGAGAAGTTTGGATATCACCCACTTTGTAAATCCTTGAATATCAATCTAGTCTTTGCTGACGATTTGATAGTTGCATGCAAAGCTGAAGAAAAATCAATCAAGGGCACTATGAAGACTTTAGAGCATTTTAGAAATACTACTGGTCTTTCCATCAATCTCTCTAAATCTGAGATTACTTTTGGAGGGGTAAACAGACAGATGGAGGACAGATTTCTCCAGATAACCAATATGAGGAAGGGGTCCCTACCTTTCAGATATCTGGGATTTCCAATTACAGCAGCAAGGATTAGTATTAAGGACTGTGAGAGTCTGGTGGATAAAATGACTATCAAAATCAATGCGTGGTCATCCAAGAATTTATCATATGCTGGAAGGGTGAAACTGATTCAGTTTTATACAAAATTCTGACCTTTTGGAGCAGATTATTTCTCATCCCCTCAATGGTCATGAAAAGAATACAAGCTATTTGTAGGAATTTTTTATAGGGATCCTCTAAGGAACACAGGAAAGTCCCCCTAGTTGCATGAGAGGAGGTATGCCTTCCTAAGCGATTTGGTGGATTAGGCCTAAAGAATATGGTTCTTTGGAACAAAGCCAACATAATGAAGCTAGTGTGGGACATAGCCTTGAAAAAGGATATCTTATGGATCAAATGGATCCATAACAAATATATTAAAGACTCTACGATATGGGAATGTCAAAATAGAAGGGATGATTGTTACTATTGGAAAAAAATCCTTCAAACTAGGGACTGTTTTGAGAGTATGGATAAATCTGCCCCCTATACCCCAATACTGGGATATCAATGGCAATTGGGGGGAATTGAAGGACTGGAAGTGGAAGGACATGGTCTGGAATAGGTTCACCATTCCCAAACATAAGTTTATCTTTTGGCTAATCTGTAAAAACAAAATTCAAACCAAGTGCAGGTTAAGCAAATGGCTGCCCATTGATACTCAATGCATGTTGTGCCGAAATTCAGAGGAAACCCTTGATCATTCATTCTGCACATGTACCTTCTCCAGGGGAGTGTATACAGGTATCCAAGATTGGTGTCATTACAAGTTCGAGGGAGGAACCGTCAATGAAATGATAGATCACATCCAGAGGATTGCACCAAAGAAGAGGCAGAGAGGAATAGCAGCAGTCTTTGCAGCATGTCTCTACAATATTTGGAAGTGCAGAAACCAAGCATTACATAACAATACTCTCACTCCAACTGAGGAAGCAGTGCAATGGATTAAATATTCATCTAGCACATACTTGCGTTCAAAATGCCAGCTTTGAATAAAATTTGTGAGAGCGTTAATAGATTGTACTAGAGCAGTAGCTTATATCTGAGTGTGTTGCTTTATTGCTTTATAGGGGGGCTATAGACAGTAAGTAGCCATTCTTTGTAAGGGGTTTATTTGTACATTTGAGTTGAGACATTGAATATATTTGCATTTGGTTAAAAAAAAAACAGAATGAAGTGCCCAAATGAGTTTTTAATATTGCCGCCAAAAACTTTGGTCTTAGGGTCCAATTTTTATTTAAATACTCTGCACAAATTTAGACCATTCATTAGATTGACAATTTCGTAATAACAATAAAGTTGATGGCCATTGCTGAAGTCTAGCACCGAGCAAAGCGTGACCCACTGTCTACTACTATTTATTCACTTTTTTCCATTTATATTAATTTTTAAACTAGCATCCTTATTTTATTCATAATTTTTTGTACGTAAGTCAATACTTGTCAAATACTCCCTCCGTCCCTCATAGATCTTCTCAATAGCCCTTTTTTATTGTCCACAATAGATCTTCTCATTTCATTTTTTTACAATTAAAATACCACAACTACCCCCACTTACTTTATTTATTACACCTCACTCACCTCATTTAATACACTCCACCCATTTTTCATTAAGGGTATTATGGTAAACTTTCACCTTTTTTCAACTCTCCTTAAAAACCACCAAAAGTCAAAATGAGAACATCTTAGAGGGATGGAGGGAGTAACATACTGACATACTGTTGAAAATATTTTCAAGAGATCTACCCAATGACATCAATATTATATATATAATTATAACATTATATCTTGCTTTTATTTTACTTTCAAACACTTCAAAATTGAATGAAATTTTATCATTATATTTTTTCCTTTCATATTAAACTAACTTTTTTTGTTATGGTATAAAAGTAAAGCATATCTATAAAACTCGAAACCAAATTAGTGTTATTTGCAATCTAATTTCTTGTTTCTAAAAAAATAAAACAAAAATTGAACAAATTCTATATAAAAATGAAAATAATAAAATAGATTTAAATTAAAATACTGAAAGAATATGAGATAGAAAAATAAAAAATAATACCAAGTAAATTTTTGTTTTTATTTTAAAAGATTGAATTTAACTTGAGTATAAATGTGTAAATATATACTCCCTCCATCTGGAAATATTCTTCCTGTGTTGACTTGACACGCTTATTAAGGATTAGTAAAAAAATGCAAAGTTTTCAAAAATGCACATACTATAAACTTTTAAATCTTCTTTTATTATTAAAAAAGTACTAAAAAGTAGATTTGTGATCAAATAGAAGGATATTATTGATATTTATCCTTAAAAAGTATACAAAAAATGGAAATGGGAAGAATATTTCCGGATGGATGATACACTCGCGTATCAACTAGGGAAGGTTTAAGGCACCTTCAAGCTTAAGGAGGCAGTGAGAAAGGAAGAAGGAAGAGGATGAGGGGAGAAGAAAAGCCTTGAACGGCTGGAGGGGAGTTGAGGGAAGTGAAGAAGTGGGGAATTAAGGCTAGAGAGAGAAAGAGAGTAGGGAAAAGTGGTTCATATTTTTCATATTCTCCCATGCGGATGTACATCACCTTAAATAATGGTTCCCGAAACCCTAATTAACTAATATCTATCTTGTCGGTTCAAAGAAAGGCATCGAGGTAAAGAACTGAAAAGAAACCCTCGAAGGAGCTTATAATTCGCTCACCTAAGAAAATCTAAGGTACAACGACAATAAAATAAATTGAATACCAATAAAATATTAAGTCTCATAATCCTTCTGCCACGCCGGAGGTCTCCTTTCCCTTGACCCCCGACGTAACTCCTTGCATGGAGGTGCTCCCACGCTGTCTTGCTCCGGTGTGTGCGTCCTTGGTTCGCCATGCACCTCGCCCTGGGTTTCGGCCGTAACACTCTCCCCCTGTTCAATTACCACCTTGTCCTCAAGGTGTGTCCGGGTAGAATTGGCGTAGTTTGTCCAAGGGCTCCCACGAAGCATCGTCCTTGTCGCCGTCCGACCATTCCACTAACCCTTGTACTTTCGTAGCTCCCTCGACAAGCACTCTGCGCTGAGCATGGATACGAACCTGCCTCGAGATGGGGTCCCCTTGGCGGAATTCCCCAGGTAATGGCAAAGGTGAGATGTGCGATGCTCCCCCCCGGAAGGGTTCCAATAGGGAAAAATGGAAATGATGGAATACAGGGTGTATACGGGAACTATCTGGTAGTTGTAAATGATAGGCCGCCGATCCCACCTTGGCTGTAACGCGAAACGGCCTGTAATAACGCCGGGCGAGGTTTTGTGACCGGCGTGTCACGACCGAGTGCTGCCTGTACGGTTGTAACTTTAGCAAGACGAGATCACCGACCTCAAAATGAACCTCACGATGATGCTTATCGGTTGCCGCCCGCATCCTTTGTTGCGCAAATTCCAAATTCCGACGGAGACGAATTACACTGTGTTTGGTTCAAGGATTTTGAAAGGAAAAGAAAAGAAAATGATTTTCTCACATTTTCCTCATTAAAATGGAGCCAAAATTGGTCCATCATCTCCGATAGAGCCAAAATTTCACCATTTTTTGGCTTTGGGGTGTGATGGAATAAATCAAAATGGATCTCTAAACTGTTTGCGCTTCTTTAATTAATGAAGTAGCAATTAGTCAAGCAATGCAACTTTCGACGTTGAGCCGGGGGTCTCTTTGGAAACAGTCTCTCTACTTTCGAGTAGGGGCAAGGTCTGCGTACACACACCCTCCCCAGACCCTACTCTTGTGGGATTTAACTGGGTTGTTGTTGTTGTTCCTCATTAAAATGGAAGGAATTTGGTTTTACCTTGTTTTAATATATTTTGCCTTCTTAATTTTTTTTCCTCCCACTTTTCCTTTCTAACCAAACAACAAAATCAGTTTTCCACTTCATTTTCTTTTCTTTTCCCTTTCAAATTCCTTGTACCAAACATAGGGTTAGTATCTCTACAGCTGGCAGTGAGCATTCCCCTTGGGTATATAATAGTTGGTGGTTCACGGCCATATATGGCTTGAAAAGGAGTCATGCCCAATCCGCTGTGATAACTTGTATTCAATGCATATTCCGCCCATGGCAACAGGATCGTCCACCGGTTTGGGGTGTCGTGAGTAAAAGCCCGTAAATATTGTTCCCTGTTCATCACCTCGGTCTGCCCATCCGTTTGTGGGTGGAAGGCGGTGCTATGGTGCAGAGTTGTCCCACTCAATTTGAGTAAGTGGCGCCAAAATTTACTCACAAAGACCCGGTCGCGATCAAAGATATTCGTCTTCGGAAACCCATGGAGCTTAACCGCGATATCCACAAATAAGAATGCCACGCGGTGGGCGTCAAAATCTGCCGGCAAATCCCCCAAGTGAATGAACTTCGTCAATCTGTCGACCACAACCAAAATAACCGAAAAGCCTCTCGATGGTGGTAAGTTCACAATAAAATCCATCGAGATAT